TCAAGGGGCAATTTCATCTATTTTTGCTATTTATGGCAGCCCAAGCCTGTAGTAGCTGTTGGAAGAAAAAAGCTCCTACACAAATAACAAAAATAGCAAAAATGGACTGCCGTAAATAGCAAAAATGGATGAAATTGCCTCTTGAGCTTGAGTTTGAAGATCAAGCCCTAAGAATGCTTCGAAAGGACAGAGATGCCTTAGGAAACACATTGGTTACCTTCACAAATGAAAATAACAACATCTTATAGATGATTTCTTGGTGCTTACAGATAAATTTTCTAGCTTTGCATGAGAGGCTTGTGGCATGGAAGCAAAATCAGCATAAGTTTAGCACCAAAGAAGAAAATATGGCTTCTTAGGGAGAAAGGGGAGTGTTTAAGGTGAGGAAGAAGAGGTTTGTAAGCTGATTTGGCTAAGAAGAGAGAAAGATGTGCAAGTAGTCTGCCAGAAGAAGAAAATGGAGAAGGAGGGTGAATAGTGCACGAGATTGCTGGGTTTTTGCAGGTAAGAGAGGAAGCTTGCTCTCTAGGTGTGGGTTGATTTCGTTGGGTAGAAGAGGCATCATTTTATAGCCGTTGGAAACCATCACTTTGCAAGAAACCCTAATGGCTTCTACCCATTTTGGCCAAGCTTTTCCCTTCCTTTCTCATCTCCTCCCTTGACTTTTCCTATCTTGGTGAAATTTCCTCTGCCTAGCAGATATTTTTTGGAGCTCAAGGGCCCCTTTCCCGCAGCTATTTCAGTAGGAGACTTCCATTCCGAGCCATCTCCTTCCTTTCTATCTTTCCTTTTTCCATGGCCAGGTCTGATGGGGAAAGGAATTGGGGTATGTATGCTGATTCGAAGGGTGCTTATCTTTCTGGCAGCTTGCACGTTAATATCCCTTGGTTCTTCGGGTGTTTTATGCTTGGAAATTGTTCCTTCCCATGTGCTGGAGCCTTCTAGCAGCTCTGCATATGTGGACATCTTGCTCCCTTCGCGGCTTCTGTTTTTTCAACAAGGGGCTGATGTTTTTGCTGCTTCTCATTTCTAATTGTATGGGCCTTCTAAGATAATGTGTTGGTTTGTCAAATGGGCTAACCTCAACAAGAGTTGGACTATTTTTGTTGAGGTGTTGGGCTAATTTGGTTAAGTTAATGGGCTATTTCCTCTTTTATGCTCACCCATATATTTGGGCCTAAGAAATGAGCTTGAGTCCCTAGGCTCCCAAGCAACCCGAGACTTCCATTTCTCGGCCCATCAATGGGCCTCATGTCGATTTATTACCATCCATACCACAACCCACTCAAGCAAGCCCCTAGCATTTGAGTGGCTTGGGCCCACTTAAGCTTGTAGCATGACGTGTTGCTTATTTGCTTGGCGTGGCATGTGTGCAAGCACATATGATGAACTTTCGCGTGTCCAAATCGGGTTTCTTCTCGGTAAGGTATCGCATTGGGCCAAGAATTTATTTGGGGTGAACTGTGGATTTTTTGGGCCTCAACACCTTCTCGCATCCCCAACTCTTCTTTGGTTGAATTATTATTTCTTATTTTTCAGCTCTCTTTTTATTTTTTAATATATTTTTTTCAATTTCTTTTTATTATTAATGGGTGAAACAGGTTGTGTCATGTCGTTCGTTATTTTAAGGGGTCGTGTTCGTGTTTTGTATTTTCTACCCATTTACTTAATGAGTTGTGCCGTGTCAACCTGTTAAAAAAAGGTGGGTTGACATGAACACAGTAAACACGACTTGTTTGCCATGTCTATCGAAGTTGCACCTCCACTTGCATCCGCCCCATGACCCCACATCTACCTCCCTCTTGCTCCATGGCACCCACCTCCCCTAAAAATAAAGGGGCAGAAGAAAACTTGCAACAAGTATGCAAACTTAAAAAATACGGGAGAACCCAATTAATCAATCTTAGAATAAGATTAATTCAACAAAGGAAAGTAGGGAATATAATTATAGATGCTCTAAGTTGTGTTTGATGTTTAGTTTAATGCTGCGGTACTCACTTTTAATTTCAATAGTGTTCTACTTGTTTTTATTTTCTATGTTGTTATACTTGTTTTTTGTTTTTTTGTTTTTTTTTTTTTTTTGAGACAATATTTGTTTTAGCAATTTTAACTTTTGAGGTTAAAATATTTGTACATAATTTAAGATAATATAAATAAAAATAACTAAAAAAAGTTATGAAAAAAAAAGGTTTAAATAATTGTTAAACAATAATTATTAAAGCTTGGGTCTCATATTTTGATAGTGTAAGATGGATGAAAAGAAAACTATTTGAGGCTTTGCATGTCAATTTTTTGGAGCTGATTTTCCCACTTCTATTTTTTCTACTTACACTCCCTTTTACTTTTTAATCATTTTTAATTAATTTTTTCCTTTCGCTTTCCTATTCTACCTTTACTCTACGTTAATTTCTTTTTACTTCACTTTTTTCTTTTTCTTTATACTTAAATTTCCAACTTGCACTACATTTTACTAAAAGCCCTTGCAGCCTTACCACTCCGCAATGGTCATTCCCACTTCTCCACCAGTTGAGTAGCTCCTCCTTTTCCTGACTAGACTACGCCCTTATTTTCTTTTTCTTTTCAAGTTTTTTTTTCTTTTTTCTAATGATATATTTTAGTTTAATTGAATTTTTAATGTATTTTTTAAACTAATTCAACTTTTTATTAACTTTAAAAAGCATTATAGGTTTTCAAACTAAAATGAAAAAAATATTATCATGTTTGGGGAAGCAAATGTTTTGCAAACCCTAGGTTGAATAATTAATTCTATCTATTTGGGGATTGTTTGATTGAATTAGGGATTCTTACCATAATTGGAGATTTGATTCTAAATTAAATCCCTAATTTGATTCGATCTCTCCAAGTTATGGAAAATAACTCCTTTCTATGTGAGGAATTATTCTTCTGAAACCCTAGCTACCAAGGCTCCTATAAATATATGGCCACACACAAGGCAAGAGGTATGTTCAAACCCTAGCCACCACTTTCTCCCTCTCTCACACAAGAAGAAGGAATCCCAAGACGAATATTCTCTACGGAGGAAAATCACTCTCACAATTTGGTGCTTTTATTGAGAGTGCGAGTTAATACTCAACACATGCTCCAAAACCATTTCTACACTTTGTTCCAGTCAATCATGGTTGGAAATAGACTTACGAGGAGTATGGCCACCACAATGATGCAATCTGCGACAAATCTGTGCCTCCCACATCACGACTACCTAGCCAAGAGCCTAGTGGCTCACGCCGTTGCACCATAGCAAGGTTTCATGGCTAAAACCTCCTCACAGCCACCAAGCCTAGCGGTTGGAACTGAAGCCCTCCTCTTCCCCTGGGTTTTATTTTCCTCCTCATGGGAAAGTTTGGAACAATGAGCCAAACATTAAATGCACATTTTTCATGACCATTTTGTCCCCATAAACAATTTAAAATTACAATATAGCATTAAATGCATTCTTTTTTTTATTTGATTTCATATTAGTATAATTGAAAAATAAAGTGGTATTTCCTGGTTACTTTCCAAGGATTACCAAACATGGAAAATGAATCTTCAATTTCCTAACCCTTGAGAAAGACATGAGAAATTATTTCCCATCAAATCTTTTTTGCAAACCAAACTGAGCTACAAGTCCACAAGGGGAATGGGTTTTCTGACACATTCACTATCAAGGTGTCATGAGGGTACGAATTAGGGATGACAAATGGCAATACCATCCCCGTCCCTGGTTTCTATCCCCTCCCCTGTCCCCACCCCTATACCCGTCCTCGTCTCCGTCCTCATCGAGGGACTCTCCCAAACCCGCCTCAAATCCCCTATTTATTTGTTGAACAACTAATCCATAATACTACACTAAATATTTTCCTAATGTTGGTTGAATAATTAGAAACCTGCATCTATGCAAATAAAATGTAGCCTATTAAAAATAGTTTAAAAAAAGCCGGTTAGATGTTGATCAACACTATATTATTAATATATGGGAGATTCACTATAAAACCCAATATAGAAGCCCAAATTATAAAAAAGCCTATATGAAATGAACTTTAGAAACACACCCAAAACTCATTTACAACATAACAAAAAGGCTTGTAACTTTTTTTAAATTATAAAATTGTCATTGATTTCTTAAAACAAACCCAACTCAAGAACCTCATATAAAAGCCCAAAACACTTAATGGGGCCTCAAAGTAATTTAATAATTAAAATTAAATTTAATAGGGTCAGCTGTCAATTTTTGGATATTTTTTGGGTGTGTTTATATAAATTAAATGGTGTAGGGTTTATTTATAGTTTTAGTGTCAAAAATGAGTATTGGACTAAATATCTCTTAATATATCCCATACAACTTGCAAACCTGTACATTTTTATTTGGAAAATCGAGAGATAGACATGCAATTGAAATGAATGCCGCATGCAAGAACGACTCCATAATAGTTAATTGAAATAAATGCATTAATTTTCTAAAATTATTTGAAAAGAAGTTAATTATTGTTTTATAATACATATTTATTAATAAAAAATAAATATCCCTTGTCGATTCTGGTTCGGAGATGGGAATAACAATACCATCATCGACTTATTTTTGACCGGGAATTTAAAATTCGGGGATCCCCGTACCTGTCTCCAAATTTCCCCCTAAATCTCCCCTTGTTAGGGTTTGAGACTTGTCCCCATGGGGATTTTTGTCATCTCTAGTTTGAACAGAGACCGGTCTACAAGTCAAGGTCCTTTTTCATTATGCTAGACTCCGTTGGCATGAATAATTGTATTTAGAAAAAGAAAATTTTGGTATAAATATGCTCTCTTTTTTCTTTTTTTTATTCAAACGCACATTCTACTTTATTTTAATTTAAACTGTGGAGAGGGAGATTCGAACTTAAAAATGAAAGAGTTGTTTATGTTTTTGTATTGTTTTTTTTTTTCTCCTGAAAACAGTTTTGTTTTTAGCTTTTTATTAAAAGCCTCTAAAAAATTTCCTTTAAAAATATCCATCCTAAATCTAAAGAACCGCAACAAAGAAACCTATTCCTGTACCGACCCATAAACCTAACCAGCACTCTCTCTCTCTCTCTGTGCAGTCGATGTTAGGGTTTGTTGAGGGGGTTCTTGAAGGTGAAAGAGAGGGTTTCTTCGTTAAATGCTCTCTCCCTTCGACAATCTCTCAGTTCCCTCTCTTTTCATGTCTTCAATCGACGTCTTTCTCTTCTCCTCTGCTCCTTCAGGGCCTTACAAAACCCTAATTCTTGGTTTCGGTTCCGACGTTTTTCACATACTTCTTCCTCATTCTCAATCCTCTCACAGGAAAAATTCGTGCTTTTCGTTAGGTGTTTCTGGGATTTCCAATTCGGTTCTGTGCGCAAAATGAGTGATTCTAAGGTGGGTTTTGTATTTGTTATTGACTAGTTTGTCTTTTTGTATGGTTTTCATTTGAGGAGGATTTTACTAATCTGTGACTGGTTTTGTGAAGTTTAGTAATTAGAGAGATTGGAAATTTCGGTATTGTAACTGTGAATTACTTCATGCTTGGATGAAACTTCTGTTGGTCTGATTGATTTTGCTCTATGGATGACGAAGTGCCTCAATTTGCTATTTGTCATCGTGGATTGGTTCGTTTGTGATGCGTGTTTTCAGTTCCATTTTATGATGGATATTTGGTGTGGGAATTTATTGTGGTGGCAATGGCTATTCCATTATAACACAGCTTTACCTCACTAGGCCTTAAATTAGCTGTTGAGTAATAATGCAGAAGTAGATTTGTTGTTATCATTGCTGTTTCAGCATCAAGTAGGATATTTTGCACCGTTCTAGTCTTATGGTTTATTATGTGATTTACGAATGTTAATTGGCGTGGGATTTTTCTCTTCCTTGTGCTATAAAACCTGCTAAATTTTGTTGTTATTCCTTGTTTGCAGCTATTCGTTTTTGGGTCATTCTCTGAAGACGAGACCAGGTCATTGCTGCAAAAGCAATCACCTGGGAAGGCTGAAAAGCCTGTGGAAAAGAATATATTGCAGTTTGGGTCTATAAATTTTGTTACTAAAATATCTTCGGGTGAATCTAATGGTGAATCAAGCAGACCACAAAATTCTGTGAAAGGGCTCAGCAAAGTTCAGCCTTTCACTTCACTTAATAAGCAGAATGAAGTGGAGGCTGTAAAAGCAGCAAATGACAGTTTACCAGCATCTTTAACTACTCCTATAGAGAATGGATGTACTGATAATTATAAAAATGGTTCTGCCCATAGTAATGGTGTGAAAGAGGCGACAAAGGATAATATTGATGTAGCTTCATTACCTTTATCCAATAACGAAGGTGGTCTCTCCAATCAATTTTCAAGTCTGGAATTGCAGAACAGAGAGCAGAATGGTTGTGTTGATGATTTATCAGCTTCTAAGGTAAAGGGGGAACTACAGAAGTGTTTGAATGGGCCTGTTGCAGTTTCTACAGTCTTGTTGCCTCGTGGTTTAATCAATTCAGGGAATCTGTGCTTTCTCAATGCAACGCTACAGGCTCTTCTATCCTGTTCTCCTTTTGTTCAGCTTCTGCAGGAATTGAGAACTCGCAAAGTGCCTAAGGTTTCTTTTGTTTGTTTGATTACTTTGCATTTATGTGGTTTTAGTAGATTGCTATTTGCAAATAACAAAATTTATATGGACTGCTGATCTCAGAAAATGGGAAGCTACCTTGCCTAATGCTTGTTCTTTTTCTGGCTAATCACTTAACTAATATGTTGCCCATTTGAATTTGAATTTATTAGGTTGGCTATCCAACATTGGGTGCATTTGCAGAGTTCGTCTCTGAATTTGACATGCCTAGTGGTTCAAGTTCAAAGAACAAAGATGCAAGTGTTCTTGTGACTGGTAGGCCTTTTAGCCCTGCCATGTTTGAAGGCGTTCTTAAAAATTTTACTCCAGATGTACCAACTAGCATCTCGGGCAGGCCAAGGTTTGTATCTGATCTGGGTCAATAATTTTCTGTTCTAGTTTTTGTCTTTTTGTATTTTTTATTTCTATGTTGAGCAATCTTATTGCAAATTTAATCCTTGATGGTATTGCTGGCTGAAATTTTAAGGCACAATCATTGCAAAAAGATTTAGACACATGCATCTTTTTGTAGTCACAAAAGTTGTCCTTCTCTGCCACTTTTTTTCTTTTAAATCCCTTATGCACTGTTTCCTTTCTTTCCTTAAGTTAATATCTTTTCATTATTTCCAAATAAACAAGAAAGGTCAGACATGTAGTGCAATTTTGTTACTTTGTGATTCTCATAAATCTTGTATTGATCGGTAATGGTTTTCCATCAGTATTATTAGGCTTGATTTATAATTCTCATGCTTTACAATTTGTCTGATGGCTTGAAAAAGTGCCACTGCCTGACATAGCTCATGTCTAAAATACCTGCAGTTACAGTGTGTCCACTTAAATTGTTTAGTTTCTGAAAACATGTTACACTTTTTTCCAATTTATTTATCTGTTTGTGGTTTATTACACCGGTTGCAACCCATTTAATGTGAAATAATGGGTTAGACTGGGATATTTTGGAAGTTAACTTGTGATGGCTAAAATGTTGTAACAAATAGGTTAACAATCTTCTGTATTATTCTGAGTTCGCCAATATTTTCATGGACCAAGGAAAGAAGAAACCTAGAACACCTCAAGAGAAATTACCAAAGGGTTAAATTTGCATTAGAAATAAGTAGCTTGTTTAGTTTCTTCTCTGTCTAGTGTAAATATCTATGTCAGCATGTCTATATTCTACTTTCTATTTTAATTTGTCTAGTGAAACTATTTTTGTTTTTCAGACAAGAAGATGCTCAGGAGTTCCTTAGCTTCATTATGGATCAGATGCATGATGAATTACTTAAGCTTGAAGGACAGCCCTCGAGTATTAATGGGCGCAAATCATCTCTAGTATCTTCTGCAGAAGAAGATGAATGGGAGACGGTTGGCCCTAAGAATACATCTGCAGTAACCAGGACACAGAGTTTTGTTCCTTCAGAATTAAGCGATATTTTTGGAGGACAATTGAAAAGTGTGGTGAAGGCAAGAGGTGTGGGGATTGCATTATTCTTATGGCTGTTTAAGTTTTTAAAATGTCTAACAGTTTTGTTAGATATGTCTTTGTACTTCCAAATTCTTGCTGTTCACACTTGCATTTTGAGGCTGTGAGGTTCTTCATTTTTTTCTTCATAATTCAAAGAGGTAGACAATTTTACAGTTGATTCACATTTTATTTTTTGAAAATTTGAAATTTAGATACAGTTTGACCATATGATGTTCCCTTATTGTCAGCTTCTTAATGTCATATGGACTTTTGGCTCCTTTTCCTGTGTGCATGTGAATTGATAAAAATATTTAATTATCTACGATTCTTGAGTTTTAGCAAGAATTCATGGTTCTTGTGTTGTTGTAAGTTAGATGCAGTATTTGGCATTCTAGAGGATGTACTTAAGCGTAAAGGAATTCCACATCAGAAAATTTTAATTACATTTGTAGACAAATATAATCTTAATCTACTCGAGGGACTTGACCTTTGCTCGTTAATAAATATATTTGGATGAATAACCAGCACTTCTGTTTGCTAGTGCATTCAAAGAAACTGCTGGGATCATTTGTCAGCATATGGTTATAGAAGATATTTAAAAAATAAGTAATTGCAGATTAGTTTGCTAGTAGAGTTGAGCTACTTTTATTTTGGTGCACTCTGCCTTCTTTTTTTTTCGCCTCAGTAGTGATTCTATCATGATTTTTATGTGTTAGTTTGGTTTTTGTGAAGCAGGAAATAAAGCTTCTGCTACTGTTCAACCATTTTTATTGCTCCACCTTGATATTTACCCTGAAGCTGTTCGTACTATCGAGGATGCACTCAAGTTGTTTTCTGCACCAGAAACTCTTGAGGGGTATCGAACATCAGCAGCTGGGATGGTATACTCTCTCTCTCTCTCTCTCTCTCTCTCTTGGTGACTTATTGTTGTTGCTTAGTTTTGGGTGTAGTTGTAATGTGTCACCCTTTCTGTCCTTGTATTCTGTATAATCAAATTTGAACAGATTGCTTGGTCATGGTTATTTTTTAATTTTTGATGCATACTTCTACCCAGAATAAAATTGCTTGAATTTAAAGGTAGTGCGTCTGAAATACTTATGTGTCACAGTCTAGGTTTTATAATAGTTTTATTTTTTTTTAAAAATTATTATCAACCTCAAGCATAGTTTGTTTTCTTACAAATAATGTTAACTGTTGTTTGACTTTTATGTATATCATCGCTTTTCAGGCTGGTGTTGTAAGTGCTAGTAAATCAATAAAGATACAGACACTTTCAAAGATAATGATCTTGCACTTGATGCGTTTTGGTTATGGAAGCCAAGGAAGCACTAAGTTGCATAAGCCTGTGCATTTTCCACTTGAGTTGGTGTTGGGTCGTGAATTGCTTGTTTCTCCAACTACTGAGGTGATGCTCTTTTATATCTAATTTATTATTTTAAACTTTTATCTAGTGACCCATATTTCTTCTATTATGTGGAAATAATGACACGCCTTTCCTACTCCTTTCTGTTACCAATTCCATGTTTATGTGTGTGTTCTTTATTATTTTTTTCTTTCCGGTTTACATGTTTGTTCTTGAGCTGTATTTGGCTATTAGACAACTTATAATTTTTGTTTTCAGAAATTGCAGGCGTGTTATCAATCAGTTGCTTTACTCAAGTTATATAAGATTTATATGTGAGTGCAGCAAAGACTTTAATGAGTGAAGGATACAAGGAATTGAGAATGGCACGTAACTACTCTCAAAATGAAACTTTCCAATTAAAAAAAAAAAAAAAAACTAGATTATTATGAAAGTATAAAAACTCTAGATATAATTTAAAACTACTAGTACAAACTATAATATTTTGAAATGACTAGGTTCAGTGAGTCATTTGAAATTAAGAGCATTCTAATGAATAGTTTGAAACTGTATGATATGAGCTGAAAGTTCCTAGATTTGAAATCTTTTATCTAGATGGATCTTTAATTATATTTGAAATCACAAGTTCATATTATATAGTAGTATAACCTTGTACGGGTTTTGATTGATAATTTCTTGGATTTGTCTATTGTCATAGTGTGTTTATGCATTATTTCACCTCTTGACATCTTGTGATCGGAGTTGGTACAAAAAATCTGTGTTACATCTCTATGTAGTATCACTGTGGAACTTGGCCATTTTGTTAAAATTGGTATGGACCTATAAACATTAGTGATTGTGCAGACCCAGAAATACTCAGTTCTTTACGAAAAAAGAAGAAAATAAAGATATTCCTTATTGTCTTCGTGTAACTTATAAGTCTTGAAGTTAACAATTATGGTTTGATTACCTTGTGGTAGTCAGAGCCAGATTTTCAAGATTACTTTTGCCTTTTATATAATTTCTCTTTTTCTTGTTTATTTTCTTCACTTTGCCTCTGCAGGGTCGAAAATACAAACTTGTTGCTACAATAACTCATCACGGGAGAGAGCCCTCGAAGGGGCATTATACAACTGATGCTCTTTATACCAATGGTCAGTGGCTACGCTTTGATGATGCATCTGTCACTGCAATCGGAACCGGCAAAGTATTGCATGACCAGGCATATGTCCTCATCTACAAACAATTGTAAAAGGGCAGTTTGGGACAAGTAATGTGTTGCATTACCAGGCTTATGTCTACAAGCAATTGTCGAATATAACCGAGCAGTACTGACTTCCCATTGAGAGAGACCTATCCCGTTCATGTAATGTGTTGACCTCACTTGGAATCGTATCTCGTTCCGTGGGTCGATGCTATAAACTTGCCTACAATTCCCATACGGGGGTGGTGGCTAGAGAAAATGGCTGTAACAATTCTTTTTAACTTATGTCTAGTGCAGCGGTTTTCAGTTGTTTTATGATGTAATATATATGGAAGATGTTGCTGATATGCTATATTTAGTGAATGCTTTCATGTTATACTTATTTGGGTCGCGTTCATATTATCCAATAACATCCTAAGCTTCGCACAAATGAGTTTTACAAGTTCTGTTTGGATACTTTACTGCCACAAGTAAAATCTGAAGAAATTACCAATTCAAAATCACAAATTGCTGTCTTCAGTGGCACATTTGAGTTTATAACAGAACAAAATACTTGTGCATATGCGCTAGCACAATGTCGGCCTATCTGGGAGGACGAGCGCCATGAATCGTAAGCGTTGCCCTCTCAATCAAGAAGCTACAATTTGAATGACAGATTGCCTCTTAAAATACTCAAATGCAAATTTCTTTGATAAAATAGACATGGATAACAGAGTTTATTTGATAAATCCTGATTTCTATGAATATACCCAGTTTCTTTCTTATGCTCGCAGCTTGTTCACCCAATTATGTTTAAAAGCTTCTAGTAGACCGTTGTATGCTCAAGGGAAGCAAAAAATGTTAAAACGGGCAGACATTTTTTGGTTCTGTTGAATGCACCAAAGACCTTTCTGGCACGCATTGTAAGAGTTGTCTTGATGTTGCAACAAATGAATTTCTAAGTCGTGTTTATGAAATAAGAGGTGGATGTGCTATTTTTGGAAGTTTTTACATTGGACTCAAACTTCACAGATATTTTTAGGCAGTCATTCTTGTTTTGTTGAGAATGGATTGTTTGAGGAATCTGAATCCCAAGGTTAAACTTTTCCAATCATAGTATTTGGATTTGATGGTGTAATTTGAGCAATAATTATTGTGAAATGTAATGGCAAGATCTTTCCTTTATTTTTGTAGCTTGACGTATGTAAATTCATCTTTAATCAGCTTTGGTTTTTGTTTTGGATCCGATATATTATTATTGTACTCTTGCAAACTACACTAAAGTATTTTAACCCCTAAGCATACCTATTTCCCTTCCATAATGAGGATAGGTAAACTCCGTTCGCATTTTCAACCGAGCACGCCCCTAAGGTATTTTTTTGGTTTGCAATTTTTTTTTTTTTCCCCTGTATTTTGATGCTAAGATGTTTAGAGAGGGATTTTATGGTAAAGTTGAATTTTATTTTTTTGGGTCTAATTATGGTAAAGTTGATTAATCATAGAATTTCATGGAAGACCACTCATCCTTCACATATGAAGAGAAGACAACACAACAAAATCTAATTATCTTTTCTCCTATCTTTATATATATTCTCTACATGCAAGGTGTAGGTTACACGTACCCTTGGAGAACTCACCTAAGTGAGAGACGTCGTGAGGTCACGACTATGAGAATTGGGTTATTCTCTAGTAACTCATGAGAATCAAGAGTAGTGCATGGCCATAATTAACGTTACCTCGCAGCCAAGTATCAACCAATATTATGCGTGGGATATGTTGAAGTTTGGTCAAATGTGCCAAGTTCAATACTTTGTACACTAAGGTTCCTCAAATGGAGACTATCATCATTAAGTGAAGGTTCACCATATATATATATACACACACACACACACACACACACACACAGAACTTCAGTTGATGGATCACTCAAATAAGCTTATTTGAGGGAAACCCTTATAGGGGCCACTCCGTATTGTATTTCACTAATT